ACAGGAATCCATCAAAATCCTAGAGGAGAACATAGGCAGTAACCTCTGACAACAGCCGCGGTAACTTCTTCAAGATATAACTCCAAAGGCTAGTGAAGCAAAAGCAAAAATAAACTTTTGGGACTTCATCAAGATAAAAAGCTTCTGCACAGCAAAGGAAACAGTCAAGAAAACAAACAGGCAACCCATAGAATGGGAGAAGATATTTGCAAATGACACTACAGACAAAGTGCTGATTTCCAAGATTTATGAAGAACTTCTCAAACTCAACACCCAAAAACCAAATAATCAGATCAAAAAATGCTCAGAAGACATGAACAGACACTTCTCCAAACAAAACATATAAATTACTAACAAACATGAAAAAATGCTCATCATCATTAGCCATCTGAGAAATTCAAATCAAAACCACATTGAGATACCACCTCATACCAGTTAGAATGGCAAAAATGGACAGGGAAAGAAACAAATGTTGGAGAGGTTGTGGAGAAAGGGGAACCCTCTTCCACTGTTGGTGGGAATGCAAGTTGGTACAGCCACTTTGGAAAACAGTGTGGAGGTTCCTCAAAAAATTAAAAATAGAGCTACTCTATGACCCAGCAATTGCACTCCTGGGTATTTACCTCAAAGACACAGATGTAGTGAAAAGAAGGGCCATATGCACCCCAATGTTCATAGCAGCAATGTCTGCAATAGCCACACTGTGGAAAGAGCCAAGATGCCCTTCAACAGACGAATGGATAAAGAAGATGTGGTTCATATATACAATGGAATACTACTCAGCCATCAGAAAGGATGAATACCCAACTTTTACATCAACATGGATGGGATTGGAAGAGATTATGCTAAGTGAAATAAGTAAGCAGAGAAAGTCAATTATTATATGGTTTCACTTGTTTGTGGAACATAAGGAATAGCATGGAGGACATTAGGAGAAGGAAGGGAAAAATGAAGGGGGGAGGGAATCGGAGGGAGAGATGAACCATGAGAGAATATGGACTCCATGAAACAAACTGTGGGTTTTATAGGGAGAGGGGTGGGGTGATGGGTTAGCCCGGTGATGGGTATTAAGGAGGGCACATACTGCATGGAGCACTGGGTGTTATACGAAAACACTGAATCATGGATTACTACATCAAAAACTAATGATGTATTGTATGGTGACTAACATAACATAATAAAATTAAATTAAAAAAAGATAGCATGACTTTGAAATTCTTACTCTCCTTACCTTCTTTAAACTGATATCCTAAGAAACAAAACTATATACTGGGCAGAGATGATACATGTACCTCAGTGGATCAAAATCTAGATTTACATCATAGCTATCAATATTCTAGGTAAATACTTGGTTGGAGTAACTTCCTAAGCTTTCATTTTAAATGCCCAAATAAGCATATATTTTAAAAATCTCTTTTGATTGTTGGGGGAATATCTTTTCCCCATTACAGCAACTCAGTTTTTCAAATGTAACTATCAAATGGTGAGTCATTTAAACATAGTTAACAAAGTGCATATATATGTCAGATGTTTCTGATCAGGCATAATAAAAGAGCATAAAGTGAAGTTTCCAACCACAAGCACAGAAAAACTTCAGGCTGATATGTAATTTATTAACATTAAATAAACAAGCTTCAGGTAAGTGTATTTTTTTTTTTTACTACTAAAATAATTTATCTGAAGCCAGTATAAATCTATTCTGTTTAGGAAATGTGGTTGCAAGATACAGCACTGGCATGTTAATTCAGTTACTATCTAATATTTATATGTCCAACAAATAAGCAAAAATCATTTTACCTTTATTATCCCTTTGGAATTTTTTGATGTTTGGTCCATTATCCTGATCAACAGTACGTTCCTCTCTATTGTTGGGCATCATAGCTATAAATAAAAGAAAAAACAGTAATTTTCTTGCAAAACACCCAAAAGAAAGGTAGAAAAGTATTATATAAATAACTATTTTACTCCAATAACAACTAACAAGAATTGTATACATCTCTATCTGAAACAGTGGAATCATTTGTGTTGGTTTGATGATTATGTAATTTAAAAATCAATAAACTGCTCAATCATGTGAATTTTTAAAGTGGAATTAATATATAGTGCATATAAAATTGCCCACATATTTTTTAAATCATTTTAAATGTTTGCTCTTTTAAAATTCATATGCAAATTCACTATTTACCTGCATAATTAATAATATAGTTCCCAAAATGTTTCTAGAAAGAATTTATTACTTAATTCCATGAGTTTAAAATCATTACTGATAACTCACTTTATTGAGTTTTTTTTACAAATACATATAGCAAAATTAATAGGTAAAGTATAACTTTCTGGTAATTATTATAAATGCTTCTTCACAAACCATTTATATTGAAAAAGGAAAAGCATGCCAATTTTCATAGTTTATCATTTAATTCTCATTTGTTATACTTTTTTAAATCATTATATTGCTAGGGGCTCCTGGGTGGCTCAGTCAGTTAAGCATCTGCCTTTGGCTCAGGTCATGATCCCAGGGTCCTGGGGTCGAGCCCCACGTCGAGCTCCCTACTCAGTGGGGAGCCTGCTTTCCCTCTCCTCCCTGCTCATGCTCTTTCTTGCTATCTCTGTCTCTCTCTCTCAAATAAATTAATAAAATCTTTTAAAAAACATTATATTCACAGACCTGTACCTCTGAAACAAATAATACATTATATGTTTAAAAAAAAAAAGAAGAAGAAGATAGTAGGAGGGGAAGAATGAAGGGGGGGGGAATCGGAGGGGGAGATGAACCATGAGAGACTATGGACTCTGAGAAACAAAATGAGGGTTCTCTAGGGGAGGGGGATGGGTGGATGGGTTAGTCTGATGGGTATTAAAGAGGGCACGTTCTGTATGGAGCACTGGGTGTTATACGCAAACAATGAATTATGGAACACTATATCAAAAACTAATGATGTAATGTATGGTGATTAACATAACATAATAATAAAAAAATAAAATAAAATAACAAAAAAACATTTTATTGCTCTATAAATAAAATATGGTCACTTTAAACCAAAAATCCTCAAACTTTTTTTTTTCTTTTTTTGTTTATGGACAATCTCACGATCATGCTTGGACACCTGGGAATGTGCATAGACAGCCTAATTACTGCCAGTGGAATTAGAAGTGTTTTATGTGGTTAATATATTTTTTAGAATATTATATTGTTTTAGAAATATTTAATTTTATTTCTAACTGTAAGATACTATTCCCTTACAATATATCTATCACATAGTATATTTCCCTATGTGTTTTGCTCTTAGCCAGCCCTCAAATAATTCTCTCTCTCCCTTTTCCCTCTCCCCCACCCCTCATTAATACAAAGATTATCCTGACAGAATAATGTGTGTTTTGATTTCTTGATTCATTAATGGTATCTGGCTCTATCTGCTTTTCTTGCTCAGACTCCCTTAAATCAGTTGCACACAGTTGTAACAACCAGGTAGTCTGTGTCCCAAAAGCTGTGATAAAGTAAAGCTAGAAGACCCATCACCTCTTCCAGGAATTTAACTTACTCCCTTAGGGCCACTAACCTCAAGTTCTAGCTCAGTGGTTCTTAACTCTGGTTGCACATTAGAATATCATGAGGAGACACTGAAAATCAAAACAAAGCAGTGCTGCCAGGCTCTATTCCAGACGAGGTAAATCAGACTCTGATGATGTAACCTGGGCATTCAGATCTGTAAATGTGTCATGAGTGATTATAATGGGGTGCCAGATTTGAGACTCATTGCGCTTACTATGAGCCACAAACAATATATAATATTGACAGGCTAAATGAGACTTGGATGAATTTCCAGAAGGTAGAAATAATCTTCATTCTTCCCCAGCACAATTTCAGAAACTAACACCTCTGCTAATCCCTCAAATTCCTCTCCTCCCCACAAAAAACCAAAAAACCAAAAAACATTATTTTGGAGAGGCTTAAAGCAATCACTATTATGGTATATAAAAACTTAGAGTTCATATAAAGAACATCTTTATAGAGTTCCTAAAAGAGGAACAGAAATCATTTTTCCTAAAGAAACTGTATATTTAAGAAATTGGATTGTGTAGATACAAAAGATTAATAAAGATTTTACCTATTTCATTTAGTTCATAATTATTATATACTAAATGAGAATTTGTTACAAATGAATGAACTTGGTAACATCTGTGTACCTGAGTAAAATCAGACAGCAAGGGATGATAAACAATCAAGGTAAAGCCACACAGACAATAAGAGTGCTTATCCCTCACATTTCCTTAGCACTTTAAATTTCTGAAGTGTTTTTCCACATATTATTTCATTTGTCCTCACAAAAATCCAGTGCATTAGGCATGGCAGTAATTATTTCCATATATTAGGTAAAGAAACTCATGATATTTAAGTGACATACCCAAGGTCTCATAGCTACTCAGTGCCAGAACTATGGCTAGATTCAAGTCTCCATTATGCCACATCACTGACAATACCATTATAGTATTTCTGGAATAGTGTCTATCGTGTAAAGCTTCTGAGATAATAAAAAATAAACAAAGGGAAAAATACGTTAAATATTTTTGATCTAAATTATTGAGATTGTAGCAAATTATATCTTGATTCACTTTTTAATCACTCTTAAATGATCAACTGTTTAGAAGATATTTTATCTTTCATTATTCAAAGATGCTGTGAATGTAACAAGTGTATTGTATCATGTGAACTGTTAAATATCAATACGTTGAACTAACATAATAGTCTACAAAAATCCTATCATATTGTTCCCATGGAATCCAGTGACACAGTAAATGAAGGCCCTTTCAGAGAAGAAACTTCTAACACTTTAAGTTTCATTTTGTTGTTCATATTGCTTCAACACTAAAAAAATGACCACTTCAAAAGTTATTTTTATTAAGGAGGCATCAATCCCCCCCAGCTCTCCCCTTTCTATTGACTAATGAAGAAATTCCCAAAAGGATATCTTTTAATTCTTTGTTTTAGATGAGATACTTACCCATCCTCTCTGAATGGTGATCCATCTGAGAGGGAGAGCTGGACACACTGCTGCTGGGGTGGGAGGAAGTCTGACTCCCAGGATGATGATTCTCTTCCAGAGAGGGAACAGGAGAAGGACTCTCTGGGATCCGTTCCTGACACAAGGAAACACAACAGGAAATGTCATCTGTTCACCAAGTTTTTCATGTTGGTTGGTCCATAATATTTGAAATGTTGACCTCTCAGTTATCCCAAAAGCATGCATGTTCATGATACTTTGTCTTAAACGTGTATCTTTAGACAAATACATATTTTTTGTTCTTGTAAAATTAATGGGATATTATGAGGGCTAAATAAGAGAATGTGAAAGGGCTCAGTGCCATGCTGGATATATGTTAGAGGTTCAAGAAAGGTTAGTTTCCATTTACTTTCCTAGAAAATTCATGAAGAATTATGAACATAGGTATGCAGTGAAGATTACTGTTATTGTAAACTCTTAAATTTATATAAAGTATATACCAAAGCCTGGAGGGTGATCCTACTCTCTAAGAAGATCTTCCAAAAGTAAACACTTAAGAACCTAGGAATAAAACTCACAAATAGTGGCATCTGGTACATATTGAGTCTTTCGGCACAAATAAAAATTATGGAAACTACGGAAACAATATACATGCACTCTATCAGACCTTAAGAATTTATGTTGAATTCTGCCAGCAAAATGGTTTGGTAGTCACAGGACACAATGATAGGTTTTCCAAACTAACACTAAAAGCTGTCAATATCAATTGCTTAGTATTATTTAGATTTTTATAGTTTTAAATAATGAATTTGAATAAAAATAAAACATTTATTTTATATACCTCTACAGTAACTGTTATAGTTCTCAAGACTTTTGTGATTATGAATATTGCTATAAAACTCTGAAATTATTCACTATGTTTATACATCACAACTTGATGAATAAATCTGACAATCATTCAATTAATTCAATCACTAGAAGAACCAAATTGCTATGTTTATGCATATATGCAATAAATGTGACAGGGTAATAGACATGCTGGGACAGAGAATGTTTGCTCTATAAAGTATTTAGTTCATCCATAATAAATTTCTTAAATCTTCTAATTATCTGTAATTACAACATCAGTATTCTAATCATCATAACATTAAGAATTCGTTTTTCAAATAAGTACTTGTACACTTTCACAGTGATTTTGCATGAGAGGCCTAAAATTTATAAATTCCCTAAAGAAAACTGTTGTTTGTTTAAATACAAAAGTAATAGCACAAAAGTTAAAGCTTATTATTTCATTAGCAGAAGTTAACATTTTGCAATGTCTATCACTGTAGCAGGCAGAATAGTAGCAGGCAGAATAGTGGCCCCCAAAATGGCCACTCCACATCCTAATGACTGAGACCTATAAATATGTTGCATCACATGTGAATATGTTACATCACATGGTAAATGGATTTTTCAGATGTAATTGAGAATATTGAGATAGATAAATTACACTTAGAGGCAGAAAGGGAAGGTCAGAGGAAGATATGGAAGAATAATCAGAGAAATATAACATTTCTGGCTTTGAAGATGGATGAAGGGAAGCAGGAGGCAAGAAATGTGGGTGGCTTCTAGAAGGTGGAAAAGCAAGGAAATGGATTCATCGTTGGAAGCTACAGAAAGAAATGCAGCCCTGCCAACACCTTGATTTTAGCTCAGTGGTGTCTATGTTAGACATCCGACCTACAGAACCATAAGAAAATAAATTTGCATTGTTTCAAGCCACTAAATTTGTCATATTTTGTTATAGCAGAAATAAAACACTAATACAATCATCAATGTAGTTTTGTTTTTAAATGGTGTTTTATATTATTGTTTAGCATATAATTAACATCCGGTATTTTTAATAAAATAAATAGTAGACTTTGAGTATATTAGCTGCAATATTATATCCTAATTAAATACTGATAATTATAATAAATTTATGTTACACTTTAAAGGCTCTATAACTGTTGTCATACCTCAAAAACAAATGTTTTAAGACATAGAAATATACATTTCATTTATATTTACTATACAGATAAATATCTAGTTGTAACACTGCATGTACAGCACAAAATAAAAAGAAACATATAAGCAAAGTAAAAGAAAAGAATCAAGATTTTATTTTCTAAATAATTACACTTGTATTCCAGAGTGATGGAATGGGGATAGACAGCAAGATATATATATCCTTTGTACCACATTCTTTTACTTTCTGAGAAGACTAGTAGTTCATTGATTGTGAAATTCAACTTAAACTGTCACGGTCAAAAATATGTTCTTTAAATAGTATATGTACACAAACACACACCAATGCAAGGATTTTTATATATAAGGTCAAAATTGTTTTTTTTTTTTGACTTTCACTGTCCTCAACGATTCTATGCCAAAATACGTATATAAAGTGTAGAACATTCAGTGTTTGTCTTTGAGTTGTAACATTGAAAATTTGTTGAAAAAATATGTAATTCAATGAACTACATTTAAGTTTCATGGGCATCTGAATAAATGGACAGGGACAAAGTACAGCAGTTACTAGACAAAAATAGAACTGAGCAAACAAAATCACTGTATGGTGACAAACAGGAATCATACACACAGCAATATATGCCACCATAATAAAAATGGAAAATTTTTAAGTTGTTTCATAAAATTGATTGTTTGGAAAAACAAGAGAATCCAACTGACAATGATACTTGCTCTTGTCCACTCTGCCTAATAAAAAATGAAAGCTCATTTTGAATTTTTTTTAAAAAGTTGAAAGGACATCTACACAAATAGAAAAATGCTATGAAAATGAGAAAAAATACAATACTATAAAGGAAGATCCCCCCAAATGCTTAAAATTAGTAAAAGATCAAATAATATTAACTGAAATAAATTACTCTTCAACTCCTTCTTTGACATTTTCAACACCATATTAGGTGAAACAATAACTTCGAAAAAATGATTTATAATGAAGTACTGTATGATGAGTAACATAACATAATTTAAAAAAACATGATTTAGAGTGACAGTAACATTTTGCATAAAGTAATATATCTGCTTTAAGATTTCATTGCTTGCACTTTCCAAATTCAATCAAGGTTCAGTTCATTGTTATTGTTTCCCTATGGCATCACAGAGGTCAGACTTTTTTCACCATGTAAACTATATTATATAAGTTCAGTGCCTTATATTGATTAAGATTTAGGTGGGTTTAAATATATATATATGTATATATATATATATCTGTGTAGAGCTGGAAATGTTTAATTTCTCTTAAATAATTAATAGTTCTATGAACAATTTCTTCTTTGCGAGTAAACAGATCCATTTTTCATCCCTATAACCAGTATGCATCTATTTAGCTACTTAACTGCAATGTGCTTTGGTTCATTAGGTGGCTACTGTTGTGTCTCAGCCTAGTTAAAATTTCACAGCAAGTTAATCTGTTTTATTACAAATGAGAACACAAGTGATAATGTACTCATCATTTGCCAAATACAGGGTTAACAGTATTTGCAACAAATCAATAGGGGTATTTAAAAAGGAAAATTGCAACTCTAAAACCCCAATCATTTTTAGTCATTGATGACTTAATTTTATTTGGCATTTATGATTTTACAATCTTGTTACACTTCATGTATTTCATTTGGGCCCATTGACAACAGCTGTAGCTCTTCTGAAACACTACAGGTCTTCTCCAGATTCAAAGTAGCAAAGGGGAGACATTTCCAAAATTGATACATACTTACCCAATCAAATCCCCATTTCCCCTGCAATTAGTAAAATTATCTGTAATAATAACTCAGATTCTAGCATATATGTATAGTTCAAGGCTTACGCCTAAAATGAAAGAAACATTACAGAAAATGTTATTAATTAGTACATGCTATCCCCTCTTTTATCATACTTTTCCCCTTTGGGGAGGTATATATCACAAACAGTCAAAGGAGACATTCATCATATTAAATCATTTGAAAGTACACTTGAACCTTAATAAAAAATAGGGTCAACGCTTAGAAAATTCAGTTTTATACAAGGCTTAACACAGTCAATTTGGTTTAGGATTTAGTTTATTGGCAGTAAAGTATCAAATCTGCCCATTTTCATGCAGATCCTTTATTTCATCTCAATATATTCCTTTATGTCCTTGGAAATATGGTGGTATACATGGAATGTATGAAGTACTAATAAATGCATATTAAACATGTATTTATATGTATGTGTACATGTGTGTAGTTGCCCTTTACTAACAACTGTATCAATCAATATTAAATTGTTACCTCTGACATTTTATTATATTATTATCAAGTATTCAGTGTGATTATGTATTATATAATTTGTCTTTTTATTTTTAATTGGAATTCAACTCTCCCTGTAATTATGCTTCCAAATGTTAATCTATTAATGAGTTCCTAAAGGATTTAATGGCATTTCACTACTGAGGAGTGGCTTTTGGAAGTTTGTCTGAGTGCTAGATATTTTATCCATGCATTTGTCTTGATATTTCATATTAAATTGATGTGTTTCTTCTGTACTGTCACCAGAGTTCCTGCAGAAACAGAACAGATTGTAACTTGACAGACTTTAATAATAAAATCAGGGACAGGGAAATGAAAAGTTTATTCATTGTTGCTGCTAACTTGGGTTACTACTATTCCTGAGGAAGAATATGAGGCCCAAATTTGGTTTCTGAATAATATTGGAAACATGACAACTTATGGATCGTTACAAATCAGTTTAAGAATTAGTCTGTGGGGGTGCCTGGGTGGCTCAGCCAGTTAAGTGGCCAACTCTTGGTTTTGGCTCAGATCATGATCTTGGGGTCCTGGGATCAAGCCCCGCATTAGGCTCCATGCTTAGCAGGGAACCTGTGGATTCTCTCTCCCTCTCCCTCTGGCCCTACCCCTGCTCATGCTCTCTCTCTCTAAACTGAATAAACAAATAAATCCTTATTATAAAAAAAAGAATTAGTCTGTGTTCCACAATCACCAATTTACAATTTTATTAAAGTTAACATAAATGAATATGGCAGGTTTTTCATGAATTAAAAAAAAATAGGCAGACTGGGGATGCATCTGGACCATGTAACCATGAAACAATCCAAAATCATAGGCATACCCTACATGT